GAAAACTTCCAACAACTTTAATTTTAATCTATGCAGGTTTGTACAGCATAAGAACTGAAAAACGTAGGGACAAAAACCTAACATTACTTCTTTTGGCATGGGAATTACAAAGGAATCTAAGGGTGATATTATTCATTATTTGTATTACTAAGGGGCCTAGAAAGCCTACTCGGGGACAAGGCTTCCTTTGTACCAAACAGTACAAGAACAGAACAGAAAAGACAGTCTTAGACCATACCTATGCAATCCAGTCATGCCTGTCGCAGACAGCCATGAAGTAGCACTGACCCAGACTTGTACATCTATAAAAGGCAGTGAAGGTTTGTCTAGAAATACTTACCAAAATCCTGGAAGCATTAAATATTTCATTAGCATAGTCCTGTGCTTGAGCTAATAAACCCTGCCTCTCAGTATTTAGGAGCCCAATATCACCTTTACATTAATTCTAATTCATACATATAATTTAGAATATGGCTGTATTAGAAGGCCCTACTAAAACCAAAAGTAGTTTATTTCCACATTTCACCTTTATCCTGTTGGCATTTCTGCCAGTGAAAAAACTGCGCTTGCTGCCACCTTCGGGTGAGCCTCCTGCTGCTGCGGTTTATCAGAGACCAAATGGTCTATCTGGGCCTGATGAGGGAATGGTGAGATCAGCTGCAGGTGAGAACCAGGGAGTATTGGAGGGACATATATAAAGCAAAAAGTATATAGCAAAACATTTAATCTTGCTCTTGTGGAAGCTTTTTAGCATGTGATCTGAGTGATGCAGATCGTGCATGCAGACTAGTTTGGGACAGATAAAAGAAAATAGCTCTTCTCAGAGTATGTGGGAATTTCATACCCACAGGAAGTCAGAAAATGAAATACTTGTGGACAGATTTTAAAGGATCGTAAAGTTTTATGAGTTACAAAAGCTAGAGCTAGGCCTGAGCTATTGAGTTCAGTTCAAAAGTAAAATCAAAATAGGAATTTGGCTTGGGTTATATTAGAAATTAGAATTGATGGTAGAGTTACATTTTGGATCTAGGTACTCAGAGTTCAATGAACAGACTTGCATTAAACAACATGTTTGATAAAAATTTACGCTATGTGTATCAAGAAATAAGTAAGTAAATAGTCATTCTCCAGAGCCTGAAGAATCCATACCACACAAGGAAGGATTCTTACCTTCTAACACCATCTATAAAGAATTACCAACGTAGCAGTGAGCAAGACATGTCATACTGAATTCAGGGCAAGAGAAATAGATCACTGAACAGATCCAGTGTGGAAAAATACTTTTTTCCACTGTCCTAGCTTTTAAAGTCGTGCATATTGAGAAAAGCATTCACTTTACCTTTACATGGTGAAGTTAGTTTTGTTTCTGTGTGCTAGTGATAAAGTGCATGAGGAAGAATATGTATCTGAACTTGAGGAATAAATTGAGCTGTGGAGTGTTGCCACCTCTTGGCTTTTACTGGGTAAAAATAATCACAATCCTGTATATATTTCTCAAAACCCTAGCTTCATAAAAAACTCAGCTACAGTTTCCAGCCCTTCTGATATGAAAATCTTTAGAACATGATACAATGCACAATAAATGTTAGAAAAACAGAGAAAAATTATTTTTCTATTCTTATGATTTTACAACAATCACAGGCAGGAAAGGGCCATTTCATGATTTTTAACCTCTAAATAAGGCCTCACTGGAGAAGAATATTGTGAATCTGTGAAAATACTTCCTTAAATGCTAGGAAAAAATTATGCATATCATAGTTTAGCAGTGGATATATAGAACTCATTTAGATATGGAAGTTAATTATCTGGCACATACGCTGATTAAAAATGCTCAGTTACTGTCTGTTACTGTCTCCTTTCTGAGTATGATTTTCATGGCAATTCATCTATGTCTGTTACATTCAGAGTAAGATGAGGTGACTGTTAAGACCTCATATATAACATCTGTAACACCCTATAACACCCTTTGCACAGCAAATTGAAACTGAGGTAATTTGAGTAATGCTTTGTCATTTCAAGTTATATCAATTTATATTCTAAAAGCAGAAAGTGGCAGAGAAGAATACAGTGAAAAAGAAGGCCCTTCTAAAAAAAAAGTTGGTTTTTAAGATTTGCTGTGATTTAAAGAGCAGAATGAAATTACTTTCAAGAAATCCAGAAAGTATTAATTTCTCTAATTTTTATGGTAAATAATTTAACCTTACTTCCACCATTATCCCATACTTGGTAAATAGTTTCATACAAATATAAGTGTCCATTATGTGCTATGTATGAAGGATTAAAAAAGAAAGTACTATGTGTACTCCATAAACATGCAATGTCATTCTTTTTTCTGGGATAGAAAGCTGCATGCTTAAAGCTACTGTACAGACAGACAGAAATAGAGATCCATCCTGACATATTCTTAGGGACATGGATTATTGTACTTTTTTTCCCAATTCCTGTCACAATGGATCCATTTTGTAACCCTGCTCCTTGGCTCCTGGGCATGCCCTTCTCCAGCACCCAGCAGGAGTAAAAGGAAGAAGGAAATAAGAAACAAAAAAGGGGACCCATCGAACAACCCAACCCCCTAGCCCAGCAGGCGAAATATCTAACCCTTCCACATTTACACGTTTTCTTTATTGTTATGCTTTGTTTCCATCATAGAAAAGTTAGTTAGTCTGTATCTTCCCTTTCAAGTTCATTGAAAGATGTTGGAACACAAAAAAATTGCAAGTAACATTAAAATGTTAAGCACTCCAAAGTGGGAAATGTCAAAATTAAGGTTATCTATGCATCATTCTCTTCTTGGTCGTATGCATTAATTACACAATCACAGCTCATAATGTTTTTATTTCAGATCCCCCCTGCGTTAGTGCACAGAGCACATGGTGCTTAAGAATTTAGTTGGGGGTTTATGAAATACAGTATCTTGTCTATCGAACTGATTGTCTTAACGTACACTACAGTGTGTGCAATTATTCCTGTGGCAATAGGAAGAAACACTATCAGAGGTTGGAAGTAAAGGTAGGGTATGTTTTAGATATTAATGTAGCAAAAGAGATCCCTTGCCCCAAAAACTTTCCAAGCTAGACAGACAGAAGAGCCGTGGGTTAGAAAAGCAATAGAAATCGATTTGCCCAGGGTCCTGTCCACTGTATTAGCCACATGAGGAATTAATGCAGCTCTGACAATAAATGCTGTAGCTCAAAAGTCAATTTCTGGACAAAGTGTGGTTATGCTGGAGAGTTTTTGTTCCAGCTACCTTTGCCCTCGCGTGCTGGATTATTCTTTGCAGGAAGAAAGCAAGAAGAGCAATTCAAACTAGTGGTAATGCCCTGGAGTAAGGTCTGTGATGGATGTTACACGTTGTCACAATATAGAACAGCCCCCCAGAGTTAAGAAGATACAACAGATCCAAATCTCACTGCTTCTTTACCAATGAGGCACACTTGGAGCTTAATTATTTATTTATACAGTATCAACAACAATTTCAACTATATCCTAGGCCTCTCCTTTGGCAAGGGAAGTGGCAACATTTTTTAAACTAGGGTTTTATACAGATGATAGCACAGCCTGGTTGCCAGAGATACCTGTAATTATAACATCAAGATTTACAGCTTTTGCCATAGAGCAGTCCTTTCTCTAATGGCCTCTGAGAACAAATTAATTGTTCCCTTTGATGGATTTACATTTGGACATTTACATACACACAGATACAAATCAACCATGGGATGAAGTAGTACCTGCATGTATAGACGAGGCTATTTCTATATGGACATGTTAAAGGAAGGAACTTCACATAACTCCTGTATTGCTACAACTGAATGACCCAGAAAGAGGACTGCACTAAACTTTGCTCGTGTGAGTGGCAGGCTTCACTCATGACACTCACACATGACACTGAGCCAGGGTGGACCATCTTTAGACTCTTCCCTCCACATGTATTCATATGTAGCAACAAGTGACATTTTGAAAGCAATACCAAAACATGCTCTTCCCAGATTCCCTAGTCTATTCTTGCAGCTACCTCCAGCAAGCAGAAATGCCGGGGTAGCAACTCATTTCAGACTTAAAGCCAAGAATCTGTTCTTGTATGTCTTTGGCATGTCATACTGGAGCTCTGAATGTTGACGACTCACATGGGTACAGCCTGCAGCTGCATCCCGCATATTCTGATCTTCTTTCAAACTCTTAACACAATAGGGTCTTGAATACATTGTGAGCAGAAGAAAACAACCCCCCACGTTCTATTTTGGTATGTTGAGCCTAAAGTCTATTGGCTGGGAGCTGTCATCAGACATGACCATATGTTACTCAATGGTATTACAAGTAAATCCTAATTGAGTGCAAATTATGAAGATTAAAGTCACCTCAGATTTAGCTGTATTATGTTGAGGCAAATGTATTTCAAAGTCCTGTTTAAAATGCTGGCAATTCTCAGCACAGAAATTAACAGGCTGTCATTACCTTGGATTTTATGAGCTGTTCTAAATGTCTGGAGTTCCTTGTTTGGAGCCCTTAGTCATAGAATGTAAGAACAGTCCTTCGCAGCTCAGATTGAAAAACACCAAAGACAATGTATTGACAACAACTTTTGAAAAATATATTAAATATTGGTACAACTAAGTCACTGAAGAATCTCCTGGTATAAGCTTTTCATAAATAATGGTAAAAGACTGGATGACTGCTGCTCTAATTGTGGTTAAAATCAAAGTTTTGCATTTAAGCAATGCACTGTCATGATAAACCAGGACAGTTTATAACAGGCAATGCATTAGCTTTTGGAAACAATTAACTGCCAGAAAGATCTTCCTTGATAATTGAAGTTTATTACTGTTTCATAAGAGGGCTGTGAAGTAGTAAGAAGCTGAACTTCATCTATTGGTGCGCTTCGGATGATGCACTTCATTTTAATGAGATTAAAGGTTTAATGCAGATAAAAGATTTTTATCTGTTCAGTGCACTTGGATTCAACACAGGGATTTCAGTGTGATTCACAGAGAGTCATCAGAGAGCTGTGTTCATCTTGATCAATAAGAGCTTCTGACTTCTTTCCTTCTTTTCTATTTCATACAGAGACAAAATGATCAGGACACATTTCTTCCTGTTTTCCGCACTGATCATGTGGAGCATACCTGCTGAGGAAATCTTTCAGCCAACTCTAGTGCTGGACATGGCTAAAGTCCTTCTGGATAACTACTGCTATCCTGAAAACCTAGTGGGAATGCAAGAAGCCATTGAACAAGCAATCAAGAGTGGGGAGATCCTGGACATCTCAGATCCAAAAATGCTGGCCAGTGTCTTGACAGCTGGAGTGCAGGGTGCTCTGAATGATCCAAGACTGGTGATTTCCTATGAGCCATCACTACATGCAGATCCGAAACAAGAAGCTGAGGCTTCCCCCACTCGTGAACAACTCCTGAGTCTTATTGAGCATGTGGTCATGTATGACAAGCTGGAGGGCAATGTTGGCTACCTGAGGATTGATTATATCATAGGACAGGAAGTTGTGCAGAAAGTTGGAGCTTTTCTGGTGGACAAGGTGTGGAAGACGCTGATAGAGACATCTGCCCTGGTGATAGATCTTCGTCACAGCACTGGGGGACAGATTTCTGGCCTCCCCTTCATCATCTCATACTTGCATGAAGCAGACAAGATGCTGCATGTTGAGACTGTATACAATCGGCCCTCGAACACCACCACAGAGATATGGACACTGCCAAAGGTGTTGGGAGAGAGGTACAGCAAAGACAAGGATGTCATTGTTTTGATCAGCCACCACACCACAGGAGTGGCTGAAGATGTGGCCTACATCCTCAAGCACATGAACAGGGCTATCACTGTCGGGGAGAAGACAGCTGGGGGCTCACTGGACATCCAGAAGCTGCGTATTGGCCCCTCCAATTTCTATATGATGGTTCCCGTGTCACGATCTGTGAGCCCCTTGAGTGGGGGTGGACAGAGCTGGGAGGTGAGTGGGGTGATGCCATGTGTGGCTACTGAGGCAGAGCAAGCCTTGCAGAAATCCTTGGACATCCTGGCAGTGCGCAGAGCAGTGCCTGGCACCCTAAGCCACCTCACAAACATATTAAAAGACTATTACAGCTTAGTGGAGCGGGTGCCAGCACTTCTGCGGCATCTCGTCACCTCTGACTTCTCTTCTGTGCAGTCAGCAGAGGACCTGGCCACCAAGCTCAACACTGACATGCAGACCTTATCTGAAGACCCCCGCCTGTTGGTCCGAGTCATGATGCCAGGTGAAGCTGCTGCCCCCGCTGCTGAGAAGCCAATTGCAGTTGCAGCCAACTTACCTGACAATGAGCAACTGCTGCATGCCTTGGTGGATACTGTCTTCAAGGTGTCAGTGTTGCCAGGCAATGTTGGCTACATGCGCTTTGATGAGTTTGCAGATGCCTCTGTGCTTGCTAAGCTGGGACCTTACATTGTCCACAAAGTGTGGGAGCCCCTCCAAAATACAGAGAACTTGATCATGGACCTGCGTTACAACCCTGGGGGCCCTTCCTCCTCTGCTGTGCCTGTGCTACTTTCCTACTTCCAAGATCCTGCTGCTGGCCCTGTCCATCTCTTCACAACCTATGACAGGCGCACCAACCACACACAGGAGCACAACAGCCAGGCAGAACTGCTAGGCCAGCCCTATGGGGCTCAGCGTGGCATCTACCTGCTCACCAGCCACCACACTGCTACAGCTGCTGAGGAGTTTGCTTACCTCATGCAGTCCCTGGGCCGTGCCACACTGATTGGTGAGATCACAGCAGGAAGCCTCTCACACACCCGTACCTTCCCTCTGCTGCAGCCTGAGCAGGGAATAACCCGTGGCCTAACTATCACAGTTCCTGTTATCACCTTCATTGACAACCATGGGGAAAGCTGGATGGGCGGAGGAGTTGTGCCTGATGCCATAGTGTTGGCTGAGGATGCACTGGAGAAGGCTGAAGAGGTGCTAGCTTTCCACAAGAACATGGGAGTACTTTTGGAGGGTACCGGGCAACTCCTAGAGGCTCACTATGCCATCCCAGAAGTGGCTGGTAAGGCCAGTGCTATGCTCAGCACCAAACGGGCCCAAGGAGGTTATCGATCAGCTGTAGACTTTGAGACATTGGCTTCCCAGCTTACCAGTGACTTGCAGGAGGCCTCAGGAGACCATCGGCTTCATGTCTTCCACAGCCATGTGGAACCAACACCAGAAGAACAGCTTCCCAACAAGATTCCCAGCCCTGAGGAGCTGAGCTACATCATTGAGGCACTCTTCAAAATTGAGGTATTGCCAGGCAACCTGGGCTACCTTCGCTTTGATATGATGGCTGAGGCAGAAACAGTGAAGACCATTGGGCCCCAGCTGGTGCAGATGGTATGGAACAAATTGGTGGACACGGATGCCATGATTATTGACATGAGGTACAACACAGGTGGGTACTCCACTGCCATTCCAATACTTTGTTCCTACTTCTTTGAGCCTGAGCCTCGGCAACACCTCTACACTATCTTTGATCGTAGTACTTCCCGCAGCACAGAGGTGTGGACTCTCCCCCAAGTGACTGGCAAGAGATACGGCTCCCTCAAGGACATCTATATCCTAACAAGCCACATGAGTGGCTCAGCAGCTGAAGCTTTTACTCGCTCTATGAAGGATCTACACCGGGCCACAGTTATCGGTGAGCCCACAATAGGTGGTTCCCTCTCAGTGGGCATTTATCGTGTTGGTAACAGTTCCCTATATGCGTCCATCCCCAGCCAAGTAGTGCTCAGCCCAGTCACTGGCAAAGTATGGAGTGTGTCTGGGGTGGAGCCACACATCACCATCCAGGCCAGTGAAGCCATGGCTGTAGCTCAGCACATTGCCAACCTGCGTGCCCAGGTGCCACAGACACTGCAAACTGTAGGCAAGCTTGTGGCAGATAATTATGCCTTTGTGGACATTGGGACTGTTATAGCATCCAACCTCACCAAGAACATCAATAAAGGCAGTTATAAAAGGATTAATACAGAAGAGGAGCTGGCCAGGAAGGTGACTGCCAACTTGCAAGCTCTTTCTGATGATGAGCACCTGAAATTACTCTACATCCCTGAACACGCCAAGGACAGCATCCCAGGGATCATGCCAAAACAGGTACAGTTCTCTTGTACCCAGCTATACTGATGCCGGCTAGAATGGGAGCACAGAGTCAGATATCTTATTTTGTTTCTAGTTCATATCATAAACCCACCAGGATTTACCTGTACCCAGAAGAGAAGCCAGGGCGTGAGTGGGTTTTGGAGGCTGGGCTCTCTCTGACACTAAGGCAAGTCAGGGTAGTAGCTTGTGGTAGTAGATGGTAGTTCTGGATGCATGCATTTTGGGAACAACCTTCAGACTGTGAATCTCTTTCAGTTGCCATCTGCCACAAGCAAATATGCAGGGCTTCATGGTTAGAGGGAAGATATCTCATTGTCTCTGTGATCCCCTCTTTTTCAGTGCTATAATAAATTCAAGCTGTAATAAATTAATGCAGAAACCCGCTGGTTACAAACCAAGTTTGTAATTTAAGAAAAATTTGATTGGACCAGAGTAAATGCATACACCCGCAAAACATGCAGCCACATACTCTTTAATGGATTTTTCTATATAAAATTGCTGTACCTGCCTTCTATTACACCAGAATAACAAGAAACTCCTTTGGTAGTGACAGTGGAAAGTTGTTCTGATTTTATCTCATGCTCAGCATCAAACAGTTTCCCAGTGACCTAGAAATACTTTGGAAGAAGTATCTGGGTGGAAGTTAGGTGACCCCAGGGAGAAATTGATTTTTAATAATCTACTTTTGCCCTTGCTGTGTGGTTTGCATAACAGTCTGTGCTTTGTTCTGAGCCTGGGTATTTATACATTGGTCTGCCTTGGCAATCTTTCTTTTTCATTGTTGTGCTGGAGGGAGCTCCCAGGAGCACTTGTTAAAATTCCATCTTCAAATTAAAGGGAGGGTTAGGATAACCTGATCCCTTTCTTGGATGGAGTTAGCTCCTTTCTGGCTACTACTCCAGCATGGCTATAGGAGACATCTTTTCTCCAGGGACTCATAAAATTACTTTTTGAAGAGAATGCATTTGCCTTTGCAATGAACCAGAGTATACCAAGTGTCAGATAACTATTAAATGTTTCCTGGGGGAGGAAATCTGTGGGCTTCCACCCTCTGAAGTTTTTGGCATGCATGATTTAAAGTGGGCATGACCTTTGTGGTATTACCTCCAACACTAAGGTCAAGGACAAAGTCTAAGCATTGCCAGGGGAGGGTATTTTTTTCAAGTTTGTTAACCAAGAGATGCTGGCCCCATTCTTGCCTCTAAGCTTAACTGGAAATAACTAATTAAAGGATTTTTTGTATTCCATCACTCTCTTTTCCTCCAACGTTTGTTGGGTGTAGAAAACTTCACTCTAATGATGTTTTTGACAGAGCTCCCTGCTAAATTATTAGCAACATATTGGTAGTGATACATCGTATTTTCTCCCCATTCTACAAAGTGGGCCCATCTTGAAAATTAGTCAGTGTTTTCACTGAAGCCTGTTAATGGATATTGTTGGTTAGTTTTACTTGTTCAAGCCTTACTTACTTTATTTAGCCCTTGAATGTTGAGAACAGGATGTACAGGACAAATATCTTATTTGTCACATGACATGAAATTCTGATCCTGATAGAGCTAGTGAGGAAATGCCATTATACTAATTAGTGTCTCTGTTTACCTCAGTTCTTTGTCAAGCAAAATGATTGGAAGGGGTCAGGGATACATCCATAAGAAGGAAATCACATAAGTGTGGATGAAAATCAGGACAAATGTGAGATTTCTTTAAGGGGAAATAATGTATAAATAGGAGAGGAGAAGCACGGGTCTCTTATAAGGCTAAAATAGTTTCCAAAGGTGTATGCATTCCCTCATAGTGCTTGAGGAAATTGGGAGGCAGAGAGACAAGAGAGCGGTGTTAAGGCATTTTAAGGCAAAAGAGGGTGAGTGAACGAAGACACTGAAGTCCCTGAAGTAAAGGCTTTTCTTTGTGATAGAGGTAAAAGAAAATTCACCTATTCCACAGAGCACTGGGCAGCAAGAGTACCTTCATTTCCTGCCTTGCTTTTGCAGGGCCAAGAGGGAAGCTTTCTGTGGAACATCAGGACTACCCCCTACCAATACGCCAGAGAGCAAATGCCTTAAGATTACAGTGAAGCTTATATGTCGGCACTAATTGCATTTGTAAATCTTTTTTTTTGACAGTCCTGTACATGGACATAGTGGCTCTTTTAATTTGTATCACATTTATTCATCAAAAACCTAAGAGCTAGTTTTTCTCTTGTGCTACCTACTTTCCAAGCCACCCTTTCCCTTGACAGTGGGATTTTCTTGATAATGACCTTGACAGTGAAGCAGATCCAACGCAATTAAGTGAAAGTGATGATGAATAACTGCAGGAAGGATGGGATGGGACATAGGAGACAGACAAGTGAAACGCATGTAGACCTCTGCATCTGCTACACTAGAATAGCTGCTGAAGCATAATACAGGGTAGTGGATATGTCTCCTCTATGACAGCAGCAAGGTCAATACTAGCTGGAGTTGTGCGCTGCATAAATGTTACTTTCCAAAGTCAGACTTCCCAGAGGCAAATGTTGTATATATTGTTTGTGATTCAGAAAATAGCATTTTGCTTATAAGGCAGAGCTCTGTAAACTTGCTGATGCGCAGTTCAATAATCCCTACTTTTATTCTTCTGTTTGCCTCTCTCTCCCTCCAGTCATACCTTCCCTTCCATACTGAAACATTTGTGTTCATGAATATCTGAGTATTGTAGACTACCTGTGGAAGAACTGCTATCTGATTTTGGCAAATATGTTATGTCAATTTTAAGTGACAAGAGTCTCCCTGAGTGGCTCTTTTGGCCCCTTGATAATGCCCAAATACTTTTAATGCAGCCTTCACACCTAAGTGAATTTTTCTATTAATGTTTTAGATAAGCAGCTGAAAATGATGATCAGAGTAAAAGACAAAAAGGAATCCTTTATAAAGAGAAATTGTTCCTGCATTTGAAGTCCTCCTTTTCCCAGATAAATAATATGTATCTATAGCAGAATATTGTACTTGCTGAAGGAGGCAACAGTTACAGATGTTTCAGCAGAAAGGAGTATAGTTTGCTTATGTCCCTTCAATAATGAGTGAAATCAAAATGCTCGGCCTCCAAGTGTTAAGATAGGTAATCGAATTGCTTCATCTCTTGCTAACAGGAAAAAAATTGTTGTGCGCCCATAGGATGCTAATTTAGATCAACAACACAGTAAAGTCAGTGGCACTATACAGGTTTATGCAAGCCAAAAAAATGTCTCGTGTTTAACTCTCATTGACTCTTTACCTTTAAAATTCATGCTTGCTTCTTGTATTTGGTGCAGAAAAGAATATGACACTTTTGTTCTTTTTCTAATACCTTTCATCTTCCGGTCCTGATACTCAAGCTCAATGCAGTTATGTTTGCAGTTATAATCCCACCAAAGAGATCTGTTTGTGCTCATTTTTTTCCATTGTCATTAATGTTACAGTAGATTTGGCTATTAGTTTTAAGGATTTTCAATGGGTGTTAGATGAAAATCAAAATTTAGCCATGAATCTGTTTTCAAATTTTTGCTTTCAAATGTAATCTTCCAGGGCATTGACTAGAAAATAGCTGCTCACTGGCTTGCAATGAGTATGTTACAAGCTGTGTATTGTCAGAGCAGGCTTACACACCGCTGTGCAGTGCCGCCCTTTGCGGGGTGAAAGTACAGCTTCTCACTCTGCCCTGCACTCCCTCAATGGGGACTGAGAGCCTTAAATAACCTCTTTTAATCCTTTCCAGAGCATCGTCCCAGAGGGTTTCAGCTTTTGCTTGTGGTAACCCCCCCATCCTGGCTGTCTTCGTGCAACGGAGGGCAGGATTAGAATTCAAAGCTACAGTTCTGGAAAAACTGGAGAAATGATCTATGAAAAGCAGGATGGTTAAATAAGAACACATGCAGGGTTCTTACACAGTTTCTAGGGTGATAGTAATTGACTGCACAGCTCTGGGAGGAAAACAGTTTGTTTAGGGGGAGTCCTGTAAAAAAGTATATGGGTTCTTCAAAGTTCATAAACTGAACACAAGTCAATAGAGTCAAGTTGTTGCAGTAAAAAATAATGATCATCAAAATGGAATGGATAAGGAGGAATATAATCAGTAAGACATGTGAAGTCATCTGCTACATTCAGCCCTAAAGAAAATTCAGCTGGAATACACTATGCGCAGTCTTGGGCAATGCTTTTCTGGAAAGGTGTGGCTCAAGTGGGGAGACAGCAGAAGAGAGGAGCAGGAGTAAAGAGAAGACTGAATAAGAGTCATCCTGAAAAAGTTTAAAAGATTTGAGTTGTTTATTCAAGAGAGAAGAAAACTGAGAGGAGACATGAAAACAGTCTTTAGATACGTAAGAGGCTGTTTCAAATATGAAGAGAATAATCTGTTCCCTTGTCCATGGTAAATAGGCCAAGAAGTAATGCACTTAAACTGTAGAAAGTAGTGAACTTAGACTGTTTACACTAGATGTTTAAAACATCTTTGTAATAGTAAGTCTAGTGACATACTAGACTGGATTGCCTGGAAATCACCCAGTGATATGGGTGTTTTTAAGAGCAAGTGAGAATCAGCTGTCAGGGATATAGCTGATCCTGCTCAGTCCTTGAGCTGGTGGACCTACTAGGATGGACGGTTCCATTCCAGCCTGTGAGGGTACACAAGGAACCCAAATGTTATTCCAAGAAAGAAAGGTGCAACCCCGCCACCCAGCCTCCAAGATCTCATGGTTCCTAAACCAACCAAGGATTTGCAATAGCACAAGGGTGTTGGCTGATAATATTTTAACAGCTGTCAGTTGACAGCACTGGCAACATTAATGGAAATCAGAGTTACATTACAATGGTCAGCACAAAATTAGCTAGGAAAATACAGTTTCCATCTAAATAGACAAAACAACTTAGGGGAGAGGTGAAAGAGGAGAAAAGAGAGAAGAGAGGAGCAGTTGGAAAAGTAGTTTGCTCGTGACTGGGGTATGTGTCAGTAGCAGAACCAGGGATGAAACTCCATGCATGAGTCCCAGGGCAGCATTCTATGTCCTATTTTGTGTCACATCACTTGTTCCAGTTAGGCCCTCACGTGTGGAAGGAAACTGCAGAATAGGGCTGGAGACTCTATATAGTTAACAAAAAACAATTCTTCCTTGGCTTAAGTGGTGTTAGCTTGGAGGTCCTTTAGTCTAGCCACATTGCTTATAGTGTTCTTACTAAGGCACCTGAGGATTTATATTTAACATCAAGTCATTTGTATGTAAACATTGCCTGACTGAGCAGCAGGATCTTACTTTCAGCTGCATCCTGTCCCAGCTTGTCCTTGGCCTGCAAACAGAGCCCTGCCTTCCAAAGGAGAGCGTGTTGTGGCTCTCTGAGGCTAGACTTACCTCCTTAGGTACCAGCAGCACATGGCCCATGTGCCAGTGCATTGAACCTGCAGTTTTCCAGGACAGTAACTCCGTACTGTCAGTCCCAGCCTCCTCCCCTCTTTTGCTTAAAAATTAGGAGGCTTCCCCACCCCCCCAAAATTACATTCTGAGTGTTTTTCACCTGACTTCTGGTCTTAGAGCCTTTAGACTAGATATATTTTCATACCTTTTCCTGCAGCCATGAAGATGAAGAAGAGTTTCTTTGAGACCCTTGCATATTGATTTTACCGCATGAGACCTGAGGCTTTAAGACCTACCTGCCCACCTTGAAATCTGTAATGAATTTCCAAGAGTTAGCAACACTGCTAGCAAGTACTGAAGTCTTCAGTGAACAAAGATGTGATGCAGTGCAGTAAAAGAACAAGTAGAAAAAAAATTTACCAGACATAGACAGAGAGGTTATTCTTAATCAACATGCTTATGGGTACGCATCTAGCAATTATTGTTGGAGATAGAGCTAAGAAATCTGTGTGTTCAGTTAAAATATCATTAGTAAGTGGCTGAGAGTAACACATCAATTTTATTTGTAGATGTTACCAATGAGTGATGATTTTTTTCTCCTGAGGGGACCAGTACCTCTGAACTAGATATAAGCTCTGTCAGAACAATGCAATGCATGCTGGATTTATTCTTCAAAACTGTGATTTGTTAATCAAAGTATAGTGGGCAGATCAAGTAGCATTGCTGTCACTGGGAAGTGGATTGGAAATGACAAACTCAGTAGTGCTGGACTGATATGTTTACAGTCCAGATACAGTGGTTATTTTCACAAGGTACAGTGAGAAAGAAGGGTACAGAAAAGGACTCAGTAGAGTTTGCTGTCACCATCAGATCAACAACTAGTGGCCAACAGGGCTTTTAAATGAATGTTGGCAATTTTGGCATACAGAAGGCACTGAATGATGAAGCAGCCCAGGGCAGCCAGAAGTGTGATATGGTGGGTAATTTTCCCCCAGGTAAAGGTAAAGTGCTTGAGCTGTGTCAAATACAGCTGCATTCACAGACCTCTGGAAACCCTCTTTCTGCTGTGGCAGACCTGCTTTTAGCAGGAGTGCAACCCAGGCCAGAGCACTACATGTAGGAGATTGCCTGACTCCTCTACAGTTGCAGAAAGCCCAAATGCCTCCCAAATTCTGCGGCACATTGCAGGTTGGGGGAGCACCTTTTCGCAAGTGGCTCACTGATGACTCCTTGTTCTTTTGGGTCTAAAACTATGGATTTTCTGGGGCTGAGCTATCGCAGAGGGCAACTGATTAAAAAGCAAGTATAAAATCATTTTCACAGCAACCCTGAGGAGAAAGGCCAAATTGCTGAAGGTCAAATAAGTCATATATATCCCAAAGCCTTATCTCCTTAAGGTGAAGGAGAGTCTTCCATTTTCAGACACATGCATGCAAAACAGAAGTTTGGCAATAGGAGCAGGCTATGTCTCAATCCATGTAGGGGTTACTAGGATCACTTTAATAGTTGGCTACACGTTGCTATTAAAAAAATGTCTGCTGTTTAATAACATAAGCTAAACAAAATGAAATTAATCACAGCCTAACACGTGAGACTCCAGGCACATGGCCACCATATAAGAGATTTAACACATGTCAACCTCCTGAGTACCCTAGCACATGCCCAACACACCAGGTTCCTCACTGTCACACGGACTGGCTCATTAAGAGGGGCTGGGGCCAACCTCACCTATAGCCAGCAGCTGTTTGTCAGCTGAGGCCAATCAAGAGATTATAAAAGTCCCAAGTGCCTTATTTAGAAAGAACTGCTAAAGGAGGCAAGTGGGCTTGGGTGGCAGGCCGGGGATAGTGGCCTATGCTGTAGCCTTCTCAGCCTCTTTGGTCCAAGGAAATTCCTGTATTTTTGAAAAATAAACTGAGCCCTGACGAGTAGATGCCTGATCCAGATTCTGGGCATGCTATTGATGCACCTTATGGCAAACAATGCAGCAGCCAATGCTAACCTATGTTTAATATGCAAAAATATTAATATTGTTCATTATGTTCTTCAAACTTGGTCACATTCCTCACATATATCCCACCTGGACTAAACTTGACCCACATAATTCTTTTCAAATCTTGTGCCAAGCTATCGGTGCCAGCAAATGATTTGTTTTGTTTTTTTCAAACTCTTTCAGATCCCTTCCCCAGAAGTATTTGAAGATCTGATTAAATTTTCATTCCACACAAATGTATTTGAAAACAACATCGGCTATCTGAGATTCGATATGTTTGGAGACTGTGAACTTCTAACCCAGGTGTCTGACCTACTGGTAGAGCATGTTTGGAAGAAAATTGTTCACACAGATGCATTAATCATAGACATGAGGTAAACCTTTGAATGGCAAATAACCAGAGCTCTTTCAAAGCAGCTTTTTATTTGTAACAGTGAATTAGCTTTACATGGCTTACTGTCCTGTTTACAGGCTAACATTGCTGGGATTAAATGAGACAAGGAAAACAGCCAAGGAAAACAATAACAGTCTGGAAGTATATCTCAAGATAAATTGTACCATCACTTGAGATGTTTAGAACTAAATAGGCAAATTTAGGGAATACGTTGCAGAACGCAATCCTGGATGTCACATCTGATTTCTTTCTCTGATTTCTTTCTAATCTAACTCTGCATGTGCCTTGTATTAATTTTATATATGTGTGTATATATATATGGCTTAATTAAACCTTTTACTGCAGGCAGTGGTCAAGTGATTGAACAGTCAAAAAACCAGACCATGCATAAGGCTGTGTTACAACATCTAGTTTGCCATATCTGCAGTGCTAAATTATCCTGGGCAATCAGCCCTGTACAGAATGACCCTTGTGCACAGAGCACAAAGGTGGCTTAAAGGTACTGTAGCACTCCTAGACCCTGCTGCAGCAAGCTACAGCATCATATGCCTGCTCTCAACTTAGGATTCTGTTGGACACTCCAGTATATCAACAGTACTCCAAATCTTATCAGCCAGAAGATGGCATCCATTTGTTGCCAGCTATCAAAGCAGATGAGTATCACAAATATACATTTCCCATACAATATTTAGGTAAGTCATTCCCTTGTTTTGGTCCAGAGCTAATGTTTGTGAGCCCAGAACATTACGAATATCAACTAAAGAAAAGAAGGCCTTTGTTAGAACTTGTTTTTAATGCTAGAACCACTTATATCCTTTGCCATCATGGGTCTTTCGATATTTGGTAATCTTCTTAATATTCTTCTGGGATTTGCAGCATATGAAGGAAAAGATGAACACGGTGATGAGAGCAGAGAGATATCTCACTACGTGAGCACAGAGGAGGCAGGGCAGCAACCAACGAAACACACCCATGACTGAATTCAAATTCAGCAAAGGCACCACCGTTTTCCAATAGACTTGAGATAGGACTGGGACTTTTCTCTTTCTTGCCCCAGTTCTCTCCCAAGCTAAAACTCGTATCAGGGCCAGGGGCAATAAAACAGCAAAGGTGAAATCATGTCCCAGGTACCAAATGGTGTCATTATAGTTCTTTTCTTGGGTTGCTTTGGTTTGTTTATATTTAATGTATTTCCAGCCCTTTGCACACAAAAGACCCAGTCTCTGAAGGCATATAATAGAGAACCCCAAACATTTTACCTTTTGAAATTCTCCCTAAACCAATCTTACTATTTTAAGGCAAAGCTGATAATTTCAATTTTACATGGGATTAACCATAATGAATAATGTTTCTCATCTTACAGGTTTCCCTCCCTGCAACAGCTGGGTCACTTCATATTTTGATAATTTCAATTTTGCATGGGATTAATGCATAATGTCTCTCACCTTAATAGTTCCCCTTTGTGGAACAGCTGTGCTGTTCATGAACTTCATATTTTTAACCTCCACAGCATTGAGAAGAGCCACTGATAAACTAAACAGCTTCCCTAATGTCACACAAGAGGTCTGTAATGAAGGAAGTACTTGCCTCCAAAAGTTAAGCTAAAACTCTAGCAACTGCTCAGTCATTATTACTGACTAAAGTTTCTGCAGTTTCACTGTCTGCAAGAGAGTCCCAGGAAGAGCTCTCCAGCATAGCTTTAGCTGCCTGCTTGCCGCTCACTTCAGCCATGATGGCAGCTGCGGGAAACTGGGCTCTGCTTGGTCTAGCTGCCTCCTGGGCTGTGCAGCAGCAGCAGGACCTCCTGGCAGCACAGACTGTCCGGGACATACTGAAGAGGCTTATTTCAGTTCTAGCCAGTCACGGTGTGAATCCAGCATACAGCTCCCAAATGCTGCAGGATAAAGAGGTAGCTTCACTCTTTGGGACAGAGGCCTCCTGGATTGTCTAATTCTTTTCTGGAGGTTAAAAAACTTAGTTATGAACTGGACTGAACAAAACTCATTTTCTAGCAGGTTTTTGCTGGAATGTCTGTGCCAGGCACTCCTAACATCACCTACAGGAAAGCACTGTATCTGTCTCCTACTAGTGAGCAAAGTACAAATATTTCCAGTGCTGTATGTGCGCTAGTATTAGTGAAAAGTGACAGACAAAAAGTAATTTGGTATTCCATTGTGTGTGTTCATAGCCTAAGTCTCCAATGACACTTAGGCTCTTCAGTGAATTTAATCTTCAGAGACTGGTATGAAATTAAACTACAACCAAAGTTTTCAAACATGACTGTCTTAAATGAAGCAGCTAACACAATCTTTAGGCACGAAAAGAAATGGCCTGATCTTATAAGATGCCAAACACCAAGTATTCTCATTGTGTGCAGCAGGAAATAAGAACACAACAGTTCTACAAATAAATGTTGCTTAAATTGGGATCTACATTTATATATTAGGGTTTAGGTATTTGCTCATGCTGCCTATGTCAGTAACAGCATTGGTTATTCAGAGTAGAATAACAGGAATCTGATATTTCTCTGCAGATTAAGAGTCTTTGCTTACTTTCTGAATTTTTTCCAGCTTGAATCAAGAAAAAAATAGACCACTCAGTTTTATGTTTGCTTTTGAAGTCAGTTGTGGGCAATAACAGTCCAAGACTCTTAGACAAGATTTTGTTTCTCTGATAAATGTGCAAATGCTTATAGGGGAGAATGAATGTAAATGTATCAAAATGTAGCCATAAGCCCTTTCAGTACTGATGTTAAGGAACAATACTTGGAAGGGAGATTTACTGTCTGCCACAAATTTTCAATTGTTTCCTTAATATTTTTAATTTTTGAAAAGGTACAATATTGGAGGTTCCACCACTTCCATAGCAATCCTATGCTCATACTTCTTTGATGAAGGACACCAAATTCTCTTGGACAAAGTTTACGACAGACCCAGTGACTCAGTAAAGGAAATATGGACCCAGCCACAGCTCAAAGGTAAAATGACAATTTCTTTTTAGAGTAGCTTTTCATTTCAGATGTCCCTCCTTGTGTATTTTGTAGTGAGCCATTAGACACCATAACTCATTTGGTGAAAGCACCTGCCACAATTAGCTCAAGCTGTACAGAGAATGTAAAAACAAAAATGTGTATTTCAGCCATGTCCCTCAATGCCATCTATAAATAACAGTTTATCGCTCCTAGGAATGGGGTATGTTAGGCACGGAGGTTTATAAACTGGTCCCCAGAAGTTTAGCTGAATACTGTGTGCAGCAGTTGTGACTTGTTACTTTTAAAAGTTGCCAAAATTAAAAATAAATCCTGTGCTGTCTAAACCTCTAGTAATACCTCTTCCAATGCTCACGCGTAGTTTTATATGTAGCTCCTCACTTCCTACCTATTTCAGTAGATGAAAACGCCCACAATAGCCCAGTTTGTCCAGAGAATGCAAGAGAGAAAGAAAAGCACTATATTTTGCACATCTGAGTGAGTTTGGAGCATTTGGCAATGAATCACACACACACACACACACACACACACACTCTCTGCCCTGCTGTTCTTGGAAGTTGAAAGGGTACTGGAACATGCAGAAACAGAGCTCTTCAGTGCTCATAAAGTGCAGTTAGAGTGCTAAGCCTTAAACATTGATTTTAATTCTTTTCCCCTTTAAGCTAAGACAGTACCAAAAAAGGTGTCACAATGATGCCTGCAATTACTGGCTTGGAGCAGCTGAAATGGTTAAACTTTGTCACAGGCTGCAGGGTCCGTCTATTTTCCCAGGCAGTCGGAGGTGGGCTGTGCTAAGGGATATGATTACTATGGACACATTCCAGTTCCCATCAAAGAGAACAGGCAGACTCATATTAACTTCAAAGGAGCTGGATCTGGTCCTGTATTATATATATCTACTGTGAAAAGGGTGTTCTAATGGATATTACGTCTATAGTGAAATGAGAAGAGCAAAGATGGTGTGAAAATTAATTACCATGCTATTGGCCCTTCTCTTACAGTGTAGTATGAGGATTATATGTCATACTGTAACTTACTTAAAGAATGACATTTTTAGAGCAGTTTAGAGTAGTTTTCAAGTTATCAGGTCCCAGTTATGACACACTGGCCACTTTTTCAAAGGAACTAAGCTCTCAAAAGGTAGCGTATTCAGATATATTGAAAATAAGGTGCAAAAAAACTCCTACTCCCGTCAGCTGGTTTATGTAAGAAAATGAGATAACTTGGCTCAGATCCTAATAATAAAGGGGTAGTTGTTGAAGGGTTTGGAACAAAGGCCATGCAACAGCTTCCATTTATAGACTATAAAAAGCCTGTGGGAAACCACTATAATTATGATTTCATAAAATGCCGCCTGCGTAGTTTGCAGGCCAAGCTCAATGACAGCCACGTTCCTAGAGCAGGGATGAGAGTGAATCTGAAGATGCTGCTGGCTGCACTTTGAGTAT